TTCTTCTTCTTCTTCTTCTTCTTCTTCTTCTTCTTCTTCTTCTTCTTTCTTCTTCTTCTTCTTCCTACTTTTGGTGAGATTTGAACTCGAGACCCTGTACACGACCCGCAGAGCAAACACATGTTTGGCTCAAGGGCCGTGGAAAACCAGCCCTGGCTTGCTTTTTCCCACTTGGGTTGATGATAATAATAAATCGATTTATACAGCCACTGATCTCACATACATCACTCTAGGTGGCTGAATGGTAAATAAATTCAAATTATATTTCTGCCCATCTCACATCATTTTAAGTGCCCTGCGATAATAATAGATAAAACACAAACAATATAGAAATCACCCTCAGAATTTTTCTTTTTAGCTCTTATTAATAGTAACTATTATTGGTGCTTCCAGATTTTTATTTATTTATTTTGAAATATTTTATTGATTTTTTGGGTGGGGGTAATGTCTTTGATTCTTGTCAGCTGACTAGAGTTATTTAGAGTCAGGTGGATACAAATTTAATAGATTGTTGTTGATGATGTTATTATCCCCAGAATTCGTGGCCTCATTTTGTGGCACGTCTAAAGTCCAACAGAACTTCTCCTGCTTGAGCAGAGGTGGACTAGAAGACCTCCAAAGTCCCTTCCAACTCTGTTATTCTAGAAAATGCCAGAAAACACGAGAATAACTTCAAGATATGGGACCTTATGGGTGACTAAGCAGTTCCTGTTTCTGTCTCACCCAGCTCTGACTCATGGATGTCGGATCAGATAAACAAAGGTGCACAGAGTTTCTAGTTCCTTCCAGCATGTTTGTATTGTCCAACATGTGTCAAAAGGGCCAGATTAAAAAGCTGGAATAAAGCCACTTTTTATGCTCCAGAGCATTGTGGGTTGATCAAACAGGAGGAGGAGGAGGAGGAGGAAGGATGGAGAAAGAGAAGGAGGAGGAGAAAGAGTTGGAGAAGGAGAAAGAAAGGAAAAAGAGAAAAAGGGAGGAGAAGGAGAGGGAGAAAGAGAGGGAGAAGGAAGGAGAAGGAAAAGGAGGAGTGAAGGAGAAAGAGGAGAAAAGAAAGGAGGAGAAGGAGAAGGAGTGGTACAGAAAGAGAAGGAAAAGGAGGAGAAAGAGTTGGAGAAGGAGAAAAACAAGGAAAAGGAAGAGAAGAAAAAAGGCAGACTTGAGCACGTGGGGCACAATTCAATAGGATTTTCAACTTCTGTTTGCAACCACCCCAGAGATTCTTGGGGAACTTCTGAAAGAAACAACAGGCCTCACCCTGATCAAGTTTTAGGACTCTTACAACTGGAGGAAAAACTGGTGCTTCCCATTAAAATCTGATTAAAAAAAAAAAAAGGCTTGTAACCCAAAGGAGACCATGAGTAGTCCCTGTGCACAGTGGGACCCATAAGACTCCAGTTGAAGTCCTCCACCTTACTTGGATACCTGTGATTGCCCCATCCCTTTATCTGCTCCTCTTGCGGTGGAGGCTTCATTCATCACGCAAAGCAAAACCCCATTTGTCGAAGTACAACCTGGTTGAACGAAACCACAATGCTTGGGTTTCCATACCCCGCTAAACTCCAACGAAGCATCATGGCTCAGAGGTTGGGTGAACGCAGCCATTGTAGGCTAAGTCAGCTCACACATCTTCTAGCACCACAAGGCCTCCTAGCTCTGGTTCTTGCCTGGGGGAGAAGAAGTCAAGAAACGCAGTCCACACACCCCAATCAGGAACCACTGTGATATTTCTGGAGAAGATGGAGAGCCATTGATCAGAGGTCAACCTTCTGCCCAACTCCTGGCCTTCTTGAACCTCTCTGTCCCATGGGGTGGCCATGCAGTTGGCTTGCTGGTCGTCTTCCTGCTCAGATGAGGGATCCCACCCACCTTGTCCGTGGTGGTGGGACACACGGAACCCCCTCCTGGCTTTTTGACAGCAGAGGAGACCAGAGGTCCCAACTGAGCGAAGAGCTCAGCCTAAATTGCTCTCCCCCAGAGCCAAACCGAAATGAATCACTCTCTCTCTGAAGAGGAGCCGAGCGAAGAATGGAAACCCTGCGCTGCGCCAGCGTTCTTGGGCTTATGTTCTTAGCCGGGCTGAGACCAGGATCATGGGCTGTGCGGTTTGATAGAGGAGGTGCCCACAAGAAGATAACAAAGCCGACGTTTGTGCAGCGGATTTGAAGTTCTTAAGGAAGCCTGCAAATCCAAACAGAGACGGAGGAGCCCAGCTGGCCCAGGCAGAGAGAGGCATCTTTTTAAAAAAAAAAAAAAAAAGAGGACAAGGATTAGAAATTAGCTAAGGTCTTAAGAGGGTCTATTTTTAGACGCTCTCCCCTTCTTCTGACACATTTTGGGCTCCTGAGATCTGGAGAAGCAAAGCGCCAGCCCCTGGCTTTGCTTGCTCTCGCAGGCGCCCACCCCGGGAAAGATCACACGAGACGAGGGGAGAGATTACAGTGGCTGGCTTAGCGGCCCAGGAGTGGGAAGGGTTAGAAATGATTTGCAGGGATTTGGCAAATGGGAAAGTGCTCGGAAAGCAGAATTTAATTAGCAAGAGCCAGCATGAATCGGAAGGGTGGGGGGGGGAGGTTACATGTCCTAGAAGCCCAGGATTAAGAGGAGGGGGTGGGAGAGGAAAGCAGGCCTTCTAGCCAGAAAGATTGAAAGGGGGCAAAGTTAAAATCAGGTCTTCCTTCCTTCCTTCCTTCCTTCCCTTCCCTTCCCTTCCCTTCCCTTCCCTTCCCTTCCCTCCTATCTTCCTTCCTTCTTTCCTCCTTCCCTCCCTCCTACCTTCCTACCTTCCTTCTTTCCCTTCCCTTCCCTCCTTTTATTCCTTCCCACTTTTCTAATGTCCTTCATTGCCTCCTTTTCTTCCTTCCCATCTTCATGTCTTCCCTCCCTTCCCTCCCTCTGTGTTTTCTTCCTACTTTGCTAGCTTCCTTCCTTCCCTCCTTCTTTTCTTCCTTCTCTTCTTTCCTTCTCTCCTTCCCTCCTCCTACCAGGAGATTCCAGGATTGTGGGTGAAACAGGGAACCCAAAGACCATCCGAGAAGATATTAGCAAATCGTTCCATTTCATTGGAAAACAGCACAGATCTGTCCACACAATCGCCAGGAGCCAAATTTGACTCAAAAAAGAGAAAAAAAGAAAAAAAAGTTTTTACTTTTATCTTTCCAATGTTGCGAATCTCCAGCATTTGGGTAAGTAAGAGGACTCAGATCCACCCCTGGCAAAAAGAGGGGGAAATCCTTCCAGAGTATTTTTATTTTTGCACATTTTCTCTGCCATAATTTAATATACCACACAAACTAATAAAATTAAGGACAGTATATAACTCCAGAAGCACCATTAAAAGAATTCTAACCTGCAAGATTAATATATAACGCTTTAGCCCAGGGGAGATTGCAAATAAAAGTGAAATATGACAATAGCAATTCTGGGTTAATAAATAACTTTAAAGAGAAATAATGAAGAGGCGGCCTACAACTTTAATGGCCTTCTTAAGATTCATTATTTCGAAAATAGCTACTGGTCTCTCTCTCTCTCTCTCTCTGTCTCTCTTGGTGGATGCACACAAAATTTACCAGCTGAGTCTCTTGAATGCCTTCTGGATAAGGAGATGGCATTTGATTTGTCACAGAAGTGTGACAATGGGCAGACCATTAGGAAAAGGGAAGAATGCCCCATGTTCCTCCCCTCCTCCAATGTTCTTGGACTCCAAATCTCATCACCCCCAGCCAATATGGCTAACAATCTTTGAGCCCAGCAACAAATTAGCCTGCCCCAAATCTAAATGGCGATTCAGAAGTTTGGTGTGGTCTCTTCCGTAGGTCCAATTTTCCATTTCCCCTTGAACTTCCGCAGTTTATTAAATGTTAAACTATAACTAGTTGTCATTGGGCATGTAAGAAGAGATTGGTTGGGTGACAAACGCCAGGGAAGCCTTAGCAAAATTAACATCATTTCCTTCCTTCCTTCCTTCCTTCCTTCCTTCCTCTTTCTTTCTTTCTTTCTTTCTTTCTTTCTTTCTTTCTTTCTTTCTTTCTTTCTTTCTTTCTTTCTTTCTTTCTTTCTTTCTTTCTTTCTTTCTTTCTTTCTTTCTTTCTTTCTTTCCCCTTATCTCTACTCTGATTAAAGGAAGACCAATAGAAGACAAGCAGACAGTATCCATTCCTCATTCAATTATCAGCTCTGATCTGCATTTGGAATTATCTGCCACTAGATGGCAACAGCTCCTTGCTGGGTTTGGGGCAGTTCAAGAAAGATTTGATTTAGGATTTTAGAAACAGAAGAAAAGTTACTGATCCCCTCTGTGACTTGGTTATTATAAAGTTATATATGCCTCAGTGTGTTGTCTGTATCCTGCAAAAAAAAAAAACCCAATAAACCAAAAACTAATTCTACTTTAAAAACAATACCTGGGAAGGATGTGCCTTAGCTGGTGGATTCTAGAAAGAGTGCAGAGAAGAGCAACAAAGATGATCGGGAGCCTGGAGGCTAAAGCATACGATGAGTGGTTGCAAGAATTGGGTATATCTAATTTGATGAAAAGAAGGACATGATAGCAGTCTTCCAATATTTGAGGGGCTGCCCCAAAGAAGAGGGGGGGGTCCACCTATTCTCCAAAGCCCCTGAGGGCAGGACAAGAAGCAACGGATGGAAGATAACCAAGGAGAGAAGCAACCTAGAACTAAGGAGAAATTTTCTGATAGTGAGAACAATTAACCAGTGGAACAGCTTGCCACCAGAAGTTGTGTGTGCTCCAACACTGGAGGCTTTTAAGAAGAGACTGGACAGCCACTTGTCTGAAATGATATGTATCAGATCTCCTGCTTAGCAGGGGGTTGGACTAGAAGACCTCCAAGGTCCCTTCAAACTCTCCTCTCTATGTTCTATGATAAAACGGTCCAATTTTCTGCAAGAATTTGTCGGTCAAAACCAGGGGCAAAATCCTACCAGCAGAGGGTAGCAACCACCTCCCTAATCTCCAAGCTCGCGGTTCTCCTGCCTATTAACCAATGTCCCCCTGTAATCATAAAATGTAACTTTGCAATTACGGTGTTGGATTGGAAGCCTCGTGCCAAATTGATATTTTAGCAACAACAGTAAACTTTTGCTGATGGCCGATAATTTGAAGAGCGGGGGCCAGATAAAAAATTCATAATGGCAGAGGCGGCCTGGAGAACGGACAAATTATATTTAATGCTCAGAATTGTCAAGCAATTTGCTGCAGGCCCTGGATGTAATAAATAGAAGACGTGACAAAATGGAATCACACGAACCAGGTGTCCCTGGGATGCAGAGAAGCCTAGATGGACACGCACAGTGGTTTAAGAGATAACCGGTTCGGAGTTTCCAACTCGGCCGTCGGGTCTCCACGATCCTGGAATGCTGAGGAGCAACACTTGAGTGTGCCTACTGCGTAGGTGTATGCGACCTTACACAATGGAGTGTGCTGCTCCCTGTTCATATGCCATAGCTTGCTCTGTCAGTGTTCGTGGGAGTGTGGTTTTCTCCTTGGTAGTTTCTTGATTAGGGCATTGCTTTCTGCTTGATTGTTTGTCTGGGGTTAATCGCTGCTTATCTGGATGTTAGTGGCTGGAGAGGATCTGTTTTGTCTTCCTTCCTTCCTTTGTTAATTTGTTAAGTGAGTTTTGCCCCATTTTACGACCTTTCTCGCCACGTTTGTTAAGCGAATCCCCGCAGTCCTTAAATTAGTAGCCCGGTTGTTAAGTGAATCTGGCTTCCCTGTGGACTTCGCTTGTCAGAAAGTCGCATAAGGGGATCCCATGACCCTGAGGACACTGCCACTGTCATAAATGCGAGTCTGTTGTCAAGCACCCGAATGTAAATCGCCTGACTGTGAGCATACAGCAATGGTCGTAAGTGTGAAATCTGGTCCTAAGTTGCTTTTTTTCCAGTGACGTCATAGCTTCAAATAGTCACTAAGTGAACTGTTGTAAGTCGAGGATTACCTGTACGGCTGAAAGTAGGCTTACCTGAGTAGGCTTTCAGACCCCTTCCAGAAACTGCCTCCCCCCCCCCCTAAATGTTGGAGAAAGCTGCTTAGCAATTCAAAGGCAATTATGCAATTAAATATTAAAACATTCCTCAGGCTCTCGCGTGCTTGCCGTGTTCGCTCGGAGCAGTTGGCAGATCCCCGGAAATCTCACTGGGATCTTTGAGAAGGGAGATGCCGACATGTCGACAACTTTAATTGATCCATGGCTGTGGGATAAGAGCTCTAATTGGGGGGGCTTTCCCCCCACCCTGAACACGCACACACACACACCGGCGCTGGGGAAGGAATAAATGAAGTCGCTTCTTGCACCCTGGATCTTTCCCAGGGAAAAATCACCGCCCAGACATATTCGGGGTGAGGTCACAGAGCCCCATTAATGGTCTTCTACCAAGGAACACCAAAAGCTTCAGGCTCTCCCAGCCGAAGGCTTTGCTTACAGGTTGTTGTTTTCGGCTTCAATCATACAGGTGTAGTCAAGTAAAATATTTATCATTGTTGTAGATCGGCATAGGAAGAATAGAATAAAAATAGTATTTTATTTACCAGAATTAAATAAATAAATAAAAACAGTAAAAGCTTTAAAAGATTTTTAAGCTTTTACTTTTAAAAAACAGTAAAAAGCTTTAAAAACTAGAAAGAATATAAAATATGTAAAATAAAAAAACCCTGAAAAATCTAAAAACTCAGCTACTGTCAGCCTCTTGACTTTTTTTAAACTGCTGTGGACATCCTTGGTTAAAACATGACCCCAAAAGTTAATTTAGTATTTTAGGAAGTTCCTCACACAATTCTGCTTACTGAGCTTCAACAGACAAAAAACAATGAAGGAAAAAGAGACTCAGATACAGGGTGCAGTCTGAAGAAAGTACAGAAATGGGGCTGAAGCTAAGATTTTGCTCCTGGGTCTGTCAGAGAAAGTCTGAATAAAGAAGAAAATATATAAAGACTTAAATAAAGGAGAAAAAGAAAGGTTTGGTGTCATGAGAGAACCCTGGCAGAGATAGGCCAAAAAACCAAGATGGTGGCAAGTGGAGCAGCCATCTTGACCTTTTTGCCCCCATCCTATGGACATCCCTTCATTGTATACATTATTCTATTTGGGTTGCAACATTCACGCACCCAGGAGATGGCACTAAAGAGTTACAATTTTCTGTATTGCTTCATTTGGTGTTTTTCAATTTTGTGAGCTTGAAGGCCTGTGGACTTCAACTCCCAGAATCCCCCAGCCAGCATAACTAATTAGGGAATTCTGGGAACTGAAGTCCCCAAGTCTTCAAGCTGCCAAGCTTTGAGAAACACTGTCATGAAGGATTGAGTGACATTATTCCAGTCCACTGTTAACCAAGTCAATGAAGATCTGGCAGATGCATTCCCACAGCATGCTAAGCAAGGTTAATAACCCATAACTTTGGCTAATTTATTCTTTTATGGAATCCTAGAATGAAAAGGTTGGAAGGGGTCCCCAGAGGTCATCTAGTCCAACCCCTCACCCAGGGTTACCACATCTCCCTCAGAGGCCTTCCAACTTCCTTTTAAATCCTCCTGTGAAGAAATGTCAATCTATTCACAAACTGGTGCACTGCTAATATCTTTCCCATCCTTGGCCCAGCTCTGCATTCTAACGTTAAATTTAAATTAAAAGAAAAAAATCTGAACCCCCTTGACAGGGGATTATGGGAACTGTAATCCGGCACATTTGGAGGTTGTGGAATGCCAATGAACATGGCCATAACATATCCAGGCTAAATTTATCTTAACTCCTCTTCCTCTTCATTCCTCCCGCTATAAGTCCTGCTTCTCAGCCTCAGCAGCCTCAACATTAACTCTCTTGTTTCTGAATTATATTTCTGGCCAGGATACAACCGATTACGTCGCTTATGTTGCCAAGGATCCCATCAACCAGCGAGGTGAGTGTGATTAGAGAAATGGCATGCCCCTTTTTAAAAGCTATCGCCAATGGCGTGGTACAGGAGCTTGCGAAAGGTGATATTTAAAAATTATGCTATGTTTCATCTTTGTGTACAGAGTAATGCATGCACCAGGCGTCAGCAGTTTTTTTTCCATAGCTGATATATCCGTGCATTTTGTGTATATACTCCTCGACTTACCACCATTCATTTAGCGACTCTTCGAAGTTACAACTGCACTGAAAAAAAGTGACTTTACAACTATGGATAGCATCCCTTTGGTCGCGTGATCAAAAATTGGGCATGTGGCACTTGGCAATTGAATGTATTTATATGATGGTTGCAGTATCCTGAGGTCATGTGATCCCCATTTGAGACTTTCCTAGCTGGCTTCCAACAAGCAATGGGGGGGGGGGCGAATGAGATTCATTTAACGACTACATGATTAATTTAACCAGGGATCCCTAACCCCTGGGCTGCTTGAACTATTCGGAACGGGCTGTGGAAGAGGTGGGCAAGTGAGTCCATGTGGGTGCGCACATCCACGCCAGTGGTGGGATTAATTTTTTTTAACAAATTTCTGGGGTTCTGTGGGTGTGGCTTGGTGGGCATGGCTTGGTGGGCGTGGCAGGGGAAGGATACTGTAAAATCTCCATTCCCACCCCACTCCAGGGGAAGGATACTGTAAAATCTCCATTCCCAGCCACTCCAGGGGAAGATTACTGCAAAATCCCCATTTCCTCCCGATCAGCTGGGACTCGGGAGGCAGAGAATAGATGGGGACAGGGCCAGTCAGGGGTGGTATTTACCGGTTCTCAAACTACTCAAAATTTCTGCTACCGGTTCTCCAGAACTTGTCAGAAGCTGCTGAATATCATTTCTGATCCTCGTTTGCATGAATAGTGGACAATCACATGCGTGCGTGTTTGCCTGCTGCTCACATGGAGCCATCCCCTTCTCACATGGAGCACCCACAACTTCTAAAGGCAAAACATTCCATTGGTTAATTGGATGAACTTTATGAAATTCATCCAATTATTTAATAGGATGAACTTTATGAAGTTCACTTCATAAAAAACAAAAAAAGTCCAGTTGCCTCTTGAAAAAGCACCTTTGGGACAACCATGACTTGGATGACTGAGAATCTCCATAGACAGTAAATGGTGACAGTCATTAAGTGGGACATCACGTGACAGTACCTAATGTTATGACCTTTTTGTGGTGGTCGTTAAACAATTCCACTAGTCATTAAACAAATCCTTTATACCAGTGGGCATTTTTTTTTATGGCAACTAGAAGTAAAAGATTAGAAACTACCAAAACCTCCCCAAAATCGCAGTCAAATGACAGCAGGATGCCGCAGGCAGCTGTAAATGCGAGCCGGTTGCCAAGAGCGCAAATTGCAATCACATTAGTGTGACAGAGGGTGTGGCCATCAGAACTTTGAAATCGAGTCGTAAGGACTTTTTTTGGAGCCCGTCGTAAGTTTGAACGCTTGCTAAAAAGCTGTTCATTAAACGTGGACTACCTGTACGATATGCCAGTGAGTGGTGGCCATGAAAGAACCAGGGAAAAGAATGTGAATGTTATCCAAGTGAAAACCTCAGTTTTATTCTTTCATTCCCCCTGCTTTCACTTTCACTTTTGATTTTCACTTTCACTTTCACTTTCACTTCTCCAGGCATGTCCTACTTTCAGAGTTCTGCCATTGACAGGCCTTATTGGCCCCGTTAACCCAGCCTAAGATTGCATTGGCTGTTTCTGCAGCTGCATCCGCTCCTATTTGTGTCTTCTTGTGTATCTGTTTGGGTGGGGGCGGCGAAAATTATGTTGTCAGCGTTCCAGCGCTGACATATGAAAAGAGAGGAGAAGCTTGAACTTTTGCCTACTTAATTCCTTTGAAGATTCTGTTTCCTCGGAGATGGGAGGAGGGGGGGACATTCCTGTGATCTGACGGAGATGGGATGAGGAGAGTGGCTTGGAAGATAGCCAATGAGACACAGAGAACTGGGGATCGGAAAGGGAGGGATTGGGGGGCAAAGGTCAGTGCTGACCGCAAAAGAGCCAGGGACAGATCACTATGCTCAATAAAGAGAAAATTTCCTCAAAGATCGGCAGTTTGGAAATTCATTTATTTTGAGATAGTATCGAACCTGACATATGTTTAATTTCTGGTTGGGGATCTTCTCTTTCTCTTTGGCAGCTTGCCACATCTTGGAATGCTGTGACGGATTGGCGCAAAGCATCATCAACACCGTCGGGCAGGCCTTTGAGCTCCGCTTTAAGCAGTACTTGCACAGCCCTCCCCAAACTGTAGCATCCCAGGAGAGGTGGTACTATTATTATTATTATTATTATTATTATTATTATTATTATTATTATTATTATATTATATTTGTATACTGCCCTCTCCCGAAGGACTTGGGGCGGTGAACAGCCAGCAGATAAAATACACAAAATACAAAAATTTAAAACAATATTAAAATTCAATTAAATTAATTTGGTCCACAGTTAAAACACCCCTATATTAAACCCATAATTTAACAATTTAAAATTTAAAACAATTTTAAAAAGTTAGGTCAGGTCAGCCCGGCTTGGTGAAACAAAAACGTCTTTAAGGCACGGCGGAAAGTGCGCAGATCCGGGATCCGCCGTATCTCCGGGGGCAACTCGTTCCAGAGGGTCAGTGCCCCCATAGAGAAGGCTCTCCCCCTGGGGGCCGCCAACCGACATTGTTTGGCCGACGGCACCCTGAGGAGCCCCTCTCTGTGTGGTCGGTGGGAGGCTACTGGCAGCAGAAGGCGGTCTCGTAAATACCCAGGTCCTAAACCATGGAGCGCTCTAAAGATGGTAGCCAATACCTTAAAGCGCACCTGGAAGACCACTGGGAGCCAGTGCAGCTTGCGCAGGAGAGGTGTTACATGGGAGCGCTGAGTCGCCTCCATCATCACCCGCGCGGCCGCATTCTAGACCAGTTGGGAGCTCCGGGTGCTCCTCAAGGGGAGCCCCATGTAGAGAGCGTTGCAGTAGTCCAGGCGGGACATGACGAGGGCTTGAGTGACCATGCGTAAGGCATCCCAGTCCAGAAAGGGACACAACTGGCGGATCAGGCGAACCTGATAAAAAGCCCCCCTGGCCACAGGTATGGGATTGTAGCCTCAGTTTCCCCATGCGTTGAGGATCTGTGGAGATCTGTACATTTGGACTTGCAGGTTCTAGATTGCTCCCTCCCCCCTCCCCCGTTAGCTGATTGGCTGACTCTGGGCCAGTCCCTCCCTCTTATTCCAAGATCCAATCAAGTATAATCTAATAGAGAAGGGTTGGACTAAGGACAGGGAAATTTGGATTCCAGTCCCCACCCCAGGTACGGAAGCTCATTGGCTGAATGTGAGCCAGTTCCTCCCTTTCAGCCCAAGACCTATAGGAAGCTGCATAGTGACCTAGATTGTAGAGCTGAAGCAGATAGCAGAAGCCAATCAAGTGTAGTGAGGAAGATGCTGGGCTAGGAGAGGGGAGACCCTCAATCTAGTACTCCTCAGTCATGAAAGCTCATTGGCTGTATGTGGGCCAGTCCAGTCTAACAGCCAATCAGCTGTGGTGGGGAAAGGGTAGTTTAGGGGGTTGGGAGACCCAGGTTCTAGTCCTTCTTCAGCCACCTAAGCTCATTGGCTGACACTGGGCCAGCCCCTCCCTCCTAACCCAAGAGCCAATTAGGTGTTAGTGTGGAGGAGCTGGATCAGGAGGTGGGGAGACCCAAGTTGTAGTAAAAAAAATTGAAACCGGATATTGAAGGCACCCCCCCCAATTTTACACACATCATGTAAAAATGAGTTTTGATCATGTAATTGTGGCATGCACCTTGATTTCTTTACACACGCACACACATAGATTCTCTCTCTCTCACTCACACACACACACAGTTTCTCTCTCACACACATTCTCCTTCACACACAGACTCTCTCACACACATACACAAGCACACATGCACAGAATCTGTCACATACACACAGATTCTCACACACACAAGCCTGTCACACACACAAATGCACATAGACTCAGAAACATATACATAGACTCACAAACACACACACACATGCTCACACTCACACCCATGTACACAGGCACACTCACACCTATTCACAAACACATTCTCTCTCACACAGACTCACACACACAACTTTCACACACATACTCTCATAAACACACACACACAGACTCTCTCTCACACAGACCACACACAGACACATTATAGATGTCTATGTTTCTGAAATATGTGACATTGTTCTCTTGTTTCTGGTGTTTGTTTGTTTGTTTCTTTTTCTTTCTTTCTTTCTTTCTTTCTTTCTTTCTTTCTTTCTTTCTTTCTTTCTTTCTTTGATTCATTCATTCATTCATTCAATTTATATAGCGTTGGCCTTGTCCCCACTTGTCTTTCTGATCAGGACAATGGGAGTGGACGATTCTTGGGGTGAAGAGGAAGACTCCTCAGGACACAATTACTACAACAGCATCCCCGGGAAGCAGCCCCCCTTGGCGGTTGGTGGACTCGCGCTCCATTATGGATCAGCTTCCAGCCACACTCTCTCTCTGGGTTCCTACGCCACCCATTTCAGCCAGGTGACCCCCCCCAAACTCCTTGGCAGGTTCAGCAGGTGTATCCAAGCCTGTTTAGCTCAACTAAAGGGCATCGTCATTTGTTCCGTAACCACGATCTCTTCAGAGGTGGGTTTCAGCAGGTTCTGGGCAGTTCTGGAGAACCGGTAGCGGAAATTTTGAGTAGTTCGGAGAACCAGTAAATACCACCTCTGACTGGACCGCCCCCATCTATTCTCTGCCTCCCAAGTTCCAGCTGATCGGGAGGAAATGGGGATTTTGCAGTATCCTTCCCCCGGAGGGGTGGGAATGGAGATTTTACAGTATCCTTCCCCTGCCCGCCCACCAAGCCAGGCCACACCCACCAAGCCACACCCCACAAAGCCAGGTAAAAAAAAGCACACACTGGAACCGGTCTATTCCATTCCAATCCACCACCCCATCCCATCCCATCCCATCCCATCCCATCCCACCCCTTTGTGATGAAAGAAGAAACTGATGCCAGAATCTGGCGGATGTTCTGTATAATTTAGGAAATTAGCTGTTTTTAAAAAACCTCTTTTTCTGCAGTCCAAAGGTGCCACCTTCCTTTGTTAATCAGATATTGGATAGGTGTATTTTTTTTATTTAAATCTTTTTCTTCTACAGAAAACTATCCTGTGGCAAAGGACTTCAGGTAGTCCTTGATTTACGACTGCTTTTATTTTATTTTATTTTATTTTATTTTATTTTATTTTATTTTATTATTTTATTTATTATTTTATTTTATTTTATTTTATTTTTTATTTTAGCTTTCATTTAGGGCCGAAAAGGAAGGGAGAAAACCTTCGGCTCCTCGTAGGATATTCAATCGCACAGGGAATCAATCCAAGGGCAATTCGGATTAGTCTTTTCGTTCCACTCTTTACTCCGAATTGAAACCTGCCGGTCTGATCAGCGGAACCGCTCAAATACCTCTCTTTGTGACCCCGAGTGCGCTATCCACGTGGATCCTGATATTTGGAGCAAAAGGTCCCCTAAAAATATGTTTCCGGAGAGGCGATTCGGGTTCTCCCTGAAAACTTCGAAAAGGCCAATAAGGGATCTGAAGTTTGAAAAGAGGCAGGAAGTTTTGAAAATAAATAAAAAGAGGAGACGGCTGTGTCGTCTTCAGATTTTCCTCTTCTTGCTCTTTTTAAAAAGAAAACGTCACTTAGAAAAGCAGAAATATTCTTGTTATTATTAACCTGAAAAGAAGGCCCAGACAGGTTAGGGAATTTGGGATTATATCTGAAGAAGAGACGCGCGTTTTAGGCGCAATTGACACCTTTCGGTCACCTCATTTTCTAGCTTTTGGGCTTAAGGAAAAGCACCAGATTTTAGACGCGGCCGCTTTTGAAAGGAGGGCGGCAGATCCTAAATTTTAGCCGGAGAGGGTTTCACCTCGAGAAAGACCCCCAGAAGAGAGGAGGACGAAAGAGCTAAACTCTGGACGGCCAAATGGCGACCTTGGGGCGCCGCGCGCTCAGTTTATTTGGGAGGGGGAAGCGAGCCCCGTTTCCTCTCCTTGTAGGGGGATTGAGGTGCGGGGATGCTCGCTTTTTTATTCCGGGGCTCTTTTGCACGCGGCCGACTGGCGAGTTAAGTCCTACTGATCTCGCGGGGAGCCCGGCGGGGGCGAGGAGAGGAAAGGGCCAGCCAGCCGCGAGCTGCGCCTGGCCCCATCCTTTGCCTCGCTCCCTCCAGAACAGCTTCTGGCCAGACGTCCGTCTCAAAGGGCAGGAGCCCTCGGCTTGCCAGGGGTGGTCTCTTGGGATGGGGTGGGGGGGTTAGACCTCATCTGCTGACATTTCTTTCGTGGGCATCCGGCGCGCGCCTCCCCACCCCCGGGAGAAGGACTCCTAAACTTTTACGCACGGAGTTTACCTGGATCAGCAGCTGGAGACCACTCGCCCTGATCGGCGCGGGAAGACTTGGGGAGAGGGGGACCCCGAAGGAAGCTGCCCACCCTGGCATCTAGGCCGAAGCTTCCCCAGCAGATGCTGCGCCTTCGGAGTCGCCCTGGAAAGGCTTTGGATTCGCTTCCCAGGCCGCCCACCAACGGCACCCAACAGCAGAGGAAGACGCGCCCAGGAAAGTGGGGTCCCCGTAAACTTCCCCCACTTCCCCCAAGGCATGGGCTTGTAAGACACCGCTGCCTCGCAGATTTGTGTCGCCAGTGCGCTTCGGCGTTTGCGGGAGCCGCTGGCTGGCTCTAAACTGACCCGACTACAATAGCCACCTTCTGGCTTGTCGGACAGGGGTCAGGTTTCCCAAGGAAGCCCCCTCCCCCCACCCAGGCTCTGCCTTAGCCCCGGTCTTCTTCGGCCTCCCGCAGCGAGCCCTCCTCCTGCAGGGCCTGGGATCCTCCCGAGGCACCTGAAAAGCTTTTTTTTTTTTCCTTGCGGGATCTCTCTCTCGGCCCAGGAAACTTAATTTGGCCTCCTGGCCCCGCGCTTTTCTGCTTGTTGAGTTCAGACATACTCGCCCGGTTGTCAGATTTTTTTTTCTCTGGGTAAAATGTGCGTGTGGATGGGGGCGCTTTAGAGAGGATTTGCGCGGGTTTGAATGCGGAGAGGTGCCTTTGGATACGCGCTGGTCTTTCTATGTGCATCTCTATAATTATATTCATGCATCTCTCTCTCTCTCTCTCTCTCTCTCTCTCTCTCACACACACACACACACACACACACACACACACACACACACACACAGAGCGAAATATGAGTCATGCTCTTTTGCCAAATCGCCGTTTGTTTTTTAATTAGGGACCCTCTGGCCCATTCATAATTTAGTACGTGTGTGATTTTACTTTCTCTAGGGATGCGTGGGGGAGAAACCTTTAATTATTATTTTGATTGATACGACCTGATGGTGCTGATATATATTAGATAGATAGATAGATAGATAGATAGATAGATAGATAGATAGAGAGAGAGAGAGAGAGAGAGAGAGAGAGAGATGCACCCCCTACCCACTCGCACCCCTTCTTTCTGCTCCAGCAGAACCCGTAATTTTTTAGCGTTTCCAATTCGCGCCCCTTCTCCTTCCTCTTCCTCTTTGCAGAGCGAGGAGGGGGAGGGAGAGAGAGAGAGAGAGAGGGAGAGAAGCCTGAGAGGAGATGAAAAGGCTTGTAGTTTTAAATTCATCGTGACAGGCCTGGAAAGAAGGATGATGAATCTCCTATTATTGGATCAGTCTATTTGCCGCTCAACGTCTCTCTGTAATTGGAGCAACAGCACTTTAAAAGGTTCAGAGGAATGGGGACGTTTCTGGGGGAGACGAGGAAGAAGACGGCGAGGTGGGGGGAGGAGGAGGAGGAGGAGGAGAGCGGCCCTCCTTCCACCACGCAGGGAAATCTATTAGTGATTTGGGGGGTCGGGGGCCGCACGGAACGCGGGATGCTGCGAGAGGGTTTGGGAGGTCCCCGTTCTCAGCCTCTGAAGTTCTTCACGGATCTTCTCTGGGCGCGCCCCCCGCCCCCCCGTCGCCCCCCGCCCGCTTTCCTCCTCCGGCTTGGCCCGGGCTGTCCTCTGCGCCCTCCCTCCCCCTCCCTTGGGGGCCGGAGTTCTTATCAAAGAGAGACACCCCCCCGCCGTCCCCTCCCCGGCTTCTCCTTGTCTTGTTGTGACAGTTGTGATATTGTTTATTGAGGGTGGATGTCAGGTATAATTAGCAATCGATATGGAAAACGGTCGGCTTCCCCCCCCCCCCCCCCCTTCGCCCGCTCAACCCAGCCCCCCCCCTTCGCCCGTCCGGCCCGCCTCTGACGTCAGCCCCGATGCCTGCTTCTTATTGGTCCCAAATTCCCCGGGCCTGAGCCTAATGATGGGGAGGCCTGCCGGTGCTAAAGTTAAAACGCCCGGGCGGGCCGCCTTGCGCCACCGCCTCGCCGCCGCCACCCCCGCGCTCCTCCGGCGGCGGTGGCGGCAGCAGCTGCGCTGAGCGCCCGCGGGCCCCGCTCCAGCATGGACAGCCGCCTCCTCGAGCACCCCCATGCCCAGTTCGGCGGCATGGTGGGCTTCCCCTACCCCATCGGACCCCCCCACGTCTACGAGCTGGCCGGCCACCAGCTCCAGGCCGCCGCCGCCGCCGCCGCCGCCGCCTCGGTCCCCTTCTCCATCGACGGATTACTCAACGGCTCCTGCGCCGCCGCTGCCGCCGCCGCCGCCGCCGCCTCGGTAGTCAACCCCAACCCGCTGCTCCCCTCCGGTTGCGGCGTCAACGGGGATGCTCAGCCCTTCAAGCTGACCGGTGAGTGGCCGCCGCCCGCTTTCGCCTCCCTGCCTGCCTGCCAAGCCAGCGGCCTAGGTCGAAGCCAGGGGGGAGGGCTCCTCCGAGGGCTGAGGGGGGGGGACAGGCGTTGCAGCGTGGGGAGGGGGAAGAGGAGGGAGGAAGTGCGGTGGGGGGGGTGTTTGAAGTTGACAGCTGCTTTTGAGGAGGGGGACAAGGGGCTACGGTCCACTAACCCGGCATTTCAGCCCTCGGCTTGTCTGAACGGGAGCTGGGCAGGGGGGCTTAGAGAGCGGCCTTTGTTGGCCAGGCTTTGCAGTCCGGCCTCCCACCCCACACGCCCCACGCCCCCCGCGGCCGGCATTCGGGCTTCTTCGAAGCAGAAACGCTCCCTCTGCGAAACCCTGAAAGTTGGGCCGAGCAGGGAAAGGGGTCCTTGGGGAGGGGTCGCGATGGGGTCGGGGGAGAGACAGAGAGGAATAAAGAAGGTCCTATCCACCTGGTCCAGGCAAGATCGCTCCTGCGAGAATCCCACGGAATCTTCTCCCCTGGAATCTGTTGGGGGGGGGTTGAGGAGAGGCTGGAGATCTTCCCTGAGCATCTTTGAAGTGTGTCTGGTGGGGTCTGGGGGGGGGGGATCGTGTGTAACGGCAGGAGATGAGTTTAGGGAGCCCGGCTAACACAATAACGACTTCAAAGGTGGGGAGGCGTTTATTTAGAGACCCACCGAGCAGGAGGAAAGAATAAAGGCTGGGATTTTGGTTCCCACGCGACCCCTCAACCGAGTGCTGGGATCCTGTCGCGGGGGGGGGGGGGGCTCCCCTGTCTAAACAGACAATTGTGGGGGGGGAGGGATGGCGACGAGGCCTTTGGAGGTAGGGCAGCTTTGTAGAGACCCCCGAAAGCCTCTGCGCGAAAAGGCTTTTCCAGAGGAATTATTATGCTTTATTATTATTTAAGATTTAATCTTCAATTGATTCACAGTCTGGGACCGGTAAAAACTTAACAGTTAAAAATTGTCCTAACCAAATGGACCTAATAATTATTATTATTATTGGTTCATCTTCGATTCAGAGTCTGGGATTGGTAAAACATAACAGTTCAAGTCCTAATCCAGGATTTAAGAGCTGTTATGGTAACCTCTGAGTATATAGGCAGTTCTGAGTAAGGTGTTTCCCCCCCCCCTGCATTATTATTATTATTATTATTATTATTATTTATTATTATTATTATATTATTATTATTATTATTATTATTATTATTACATTAGCCAGATGTTCATTACTGGATTTTGCATTTCTTTCATTTCTGCCCTACCTATCTAGTCCTTTTCCAAGGACCTGGGTTAAGGAGATCTGGATGTTTGATGGTGTTACACATATCACCGCAGAATCCGGCATTTTTGTCCACTTCTGATTAATTATTACTATTCTCTGACAACCGTGCTTGGCGGTGGAGCTATCTAAGTTCTAGAGGTCAGGAATCTTAAATCTGGTGGCTTCCCTTCTCCTTTTTCTTTTCCCCAAGCCTGCAGCCCTCCGCAGGAAACAGCCTTTTGATGCCAGACTTCTCCAGATTCCCCGCAAAGTCCATTATTAAACTTTGATTTAAGCAAAGGCGCTTTCTTGAACTTTATACCTGAAAGGGGGAGGGAAGGGCGAGACGACGAGGCACGTGCCAATTTAAACACGCGTCCGAGACCCCCTCCCCAAATAACTGAGCTTTCAAGTGGGGGGGGGGGCTACCTCTAAGGAGAGAAAAAAAAAACCCAACGCCAGAGCGAGATCCCCTTTAAGGAAGGCGGGCGAACCGGCAGCGTCTGCCTGTTTGTTATTCCCCATTAATTCCCATTCCCCCCCCCCCCTTCCACTTTGAATAATAATCTACTTTTAAACAGCCGCTTTTGTCTCCAAAGAAGGCGCTTTTAGGAGCCAAAAAGCCTTGAGTCGCCCTGGGCGAATAGGCGGCAATATAATTTTTTTCTAAAATAAAATAAATAAAATAAAAGGGGGAAAGAAGTGAAGCGTTTAGATGTGAGGCAGATGAATTCGCATTGGGATTGGAGGGGTGGTGTTTTTTTTTTTGTTGTTAAATATATATATACATACATAGATACATACATATCTGTTTCCCCCATGACTGGACGTTTTGAAAATATTCCTGCGTGGAAACGCTTTTAAGGAGATTCCTAACGACCGGAGAGATGGGGGGGGGGGGTTCAGCTTCGTTTCCTTTAGCTCCCTTTCTGCTTTCCCTCCCCAGACTCCGTGGATCCGGACAAGGAAAGTCCCGGGTGCAAGAGACGAAGGACCCGGACGAATTTTACGGGTTGGCAGCTGGAAGAGTTGGAGAAAGCCTTTAACGAAAGCCATTATCCCGACGTCTTTATGCGGGAAGCCCTCGCCTTGCGCCTGGATCTGGTGGAGTCGCGAGTGCAGGTAAACCGAGCTGCCTCTTGCCCCTTTCCTCGCCGCCCAGGGCTGTGTGGGAAGCCTCGTCCGCCACGTCGCCCGGGACTAAGCAGGCCTGCCTCTCCTCCGTCTTCGCCAACGGCCGCCGAGTCAGGCCCCGGCCGAGGCGGAGAAGCTGCGGTCGCTCCGACGCTTCTCCGTCTCCGAATCCCCTATTCGAGGCCTGCGGATTGACACCGTCCGCGCCTCTTCCTTCAGGGAGGGGGCGATTTTGCAATTCTCGGGGTTATTTTCCCTCTTATTTCCTCCCCCTCTCCAAAAAATACACAAAGCCACTATTTGCACCAAACGAATCGGCTTGACATCTCTGCAAAAATCCTGATATGATAAACGTAGCATTTTGCATTTGTGAAAGGGGGGGGGAGGGCGGATGGGATAGAGGGCTGTAAGCATGAAGTGATAAATCCTGGGGTGTTTTTAAATCCACGCTTTTGTTGGGTTCCCCCCTCCCTGTGACTTCATTCCATTCCTCGGCCCTTTCTCTTACTTACGCATCCACCCGCAAACGCATCGCCTCTGC